AATGACAAAGTTTCTGTTATGAGAATTATCTTAATATCTCTGCCAATTGTGTGCCCGGCAATTTGGAATTTTTGTTGTTTACGGATTTCCCAAGGCTTTCGCCTATGTGGGGGTTTCCAAACTTTCCAAAATATCAAATTTGTAAAAGAAGTGATGAGCAAGAGGGGAGCAAAGAAAGAGGTGAAGGCAGGGCAGAGCCCGGCGTTATCGCACTACCCGCCTGTTTATGATTTCATTGTCCATCCTTCATCTGGCACTGAGGTAGGTGATCATTCATCAGACACTGAGGTAGGTGATGAAGAGACATTGCATGGTCAGGGGCATAGCAGCAGAACCGTCCAGTTCACTTTTTCCCACTAAAATGCCCTGAATGCATGATGTTGCACCTTAATTTCGAAAAATTCCCGAGGGACACCCCCTGACCCCTCAAACCGGACCACCTCCAACGGCAGTACTATGCACCTGAAGATAACAGAAGATTTGAAGAGGTAGATGATGCAGAGGCATTGCATGGTAGCAGAAGATACGGAGAATAACAGTATTAAAATCGAACCAAGTCCAGATCCTGGAAAATAGGGGGAAGAGCAGCAGGTGGCGTAAACACACGGCATCTAAACAAATGCAGCATGGCAATATTCTGGTTATGCTTGCACAGGTTATGCTGCTGGGTGTGAACAAACAGTTTCTAGCATCCTCAAAGTGCGATCACAATGACCACGTGACGCAGTAGAGAGAAGTCGTCAGAAAGGGTAATTCGGGATTTATTGACAGATGAGGCCCATGAGGCCCAGAAACAGCTAGTATCACCGTACTTCGATTGGCTGGATCGATGTCATCCAGGTTCTCCTCGCTATCGCCATCACGACTCTAACTGGAGACGATTTCTTCACCATTTACCGCAAGCAGCAGCCAGCGCAGAAATTTCGCCATCCCTGAGTGTATGAGATGGAATCCGTTCGATCAGCTCAAAAAACTCTTTGTTGTGACTAGAGGAGTAGCAGGGAATATTCTACCGGAAGCCCTTTGACTTCCCGGAATGCTAAAACCCTTCCTGCCATGACTGCTACTTCTTCAAACAATCGAGATTCTCTTTGGTTCCACTTCACACACGGGCTGCAAGCCCAATAACATGGAAGAGAATGTGATAATGGCGTAAATTTTGAAAAAAAGGTGGCCGAAGAAGGCGGACGGTGGAAAAGCAACAGGGAGGAAAATTCAAGAGCAAAATTAACAATTGCACAAATGTGAGAGTACCTGAGATCGAGGGTATCTGTGTGTTAGTACATATATTTTAGTATTTCGGTAACATTTGGACTGGGTACCTCTGCTAGGCTCAAAAGCAGAATCTCTTTGTCGATTTGACAGGTGACAATGATTTCGTACAGGAAACCAGTGTTTTGGGCTGATGTTCACTTATTGTTATTCCCCATGTCAGTGAATTTCTGGTGTGTTTCTATTATATACAGTTGTCAATTGTACTGTACCTAATATCACAAATGGGCAGCAAGCCGTATCGGAAATATCTTTCCAGCAAACAGCTAACTATTCATGCAGCGCTCACCATGTGTTAGTTGGAGATGCACAGCCAACATGCCAGGCTAATCGCACGTTGACTTCCAGACCCATATGCAAAGGTGAGCAACGTCGCTTGATGGTTAATAACTGCCAGTGTGTGGTTTGGATGTTCGAACTTTTACGATGTGACGCGCAACTTTCGACACCTGCAAAGAGCTACGATCGTGACACAGCTTTTACTATCTTTTTGTTTGTTGCGCCATCCTTAAACACTACATGTGAAAAGTAAGCAGTGATTATAAAAAGTGAACCATACCTCTTGCTTGCTTTAGCTCGCCTATGTCTATTGCTTTATGAGCTAATAGTGTAACCTTCCATTTACTGTTTTCTAGCTGTGACCTGCCAGGTACCAACTATCAGCAACGGGACATCTAGCCAAACAGGGATGATCAGATATCAAGAATCGGTAACCTACACCTGCAATACTGGCTACACACTGAGTGGAGTGAACACATCAACATGTGCAGCTGATGGGACTATACTATCACCCAGTTGTCTAGGTGAGCAAAAGGATATCAATGTACTGATCTGCGCTCGATTCTCTTTTGTTTCTCTCCATAATATTTAGTTCACAGTGGTTGGCTACCACCTGACTTCTCATAAATAGTGGCAGTCTAATTATGACGAGCCTGGTCCCGCAATCTGGATTCTTCTCAGTCGCGCCTCCGCTAGTCTCTGGCTTCTCCTCAGATCCGTTTTGCTTCCGTTTTCGTTCCGTTCTAATGGTGTGTGCCCGACGGTGGTAACAGAAAGGTTACCAGGAGAACGAAACAAAAATGGAAGCAAAACGGATCTGAGGAGAAGCCAGAGACTAGCGGAGGCACGACTGAGAAGAATCGAGAAGGCGGGACCAGGAGAGGCAGGTGAAGGTATGGGCGCACCACGGTGCACTCTTCAAAGAGAAAGAAGCGGTGGCGTGAGGAGATGGGGATGGAGGGTGATGATGGGGATGAACAGAATGGTCAGGGAGGCAGCAAGGGTGAGAAGTCAAATGTCTAGTCGAGATTTAGCAAGGTCACATTCCATACGACAGCAAAGCAAGTATATTTTTTTATTTCAATGCACAAGTACACATGGGCTGCAAGCCCAATAACATGGAAGCAAATGTGATAATGGCGTAAATTTTGAAAAAAAGGTGGCCGAAGAAGGCGGACGGTGGCAAAGCAACAGGGAGGAAAATTCAAGAGCAAAATTAACAATTGCACAAATGTGAGAGTACCTGTGATCGAGGGTATCTGTATGTTAGTACATATATTTTAGTATTTCGGTAACATTTGGACTGGGTACCTCCGCTAGGCTCAAAAGCAGAATCTCTTTGTCGATTTGACAGGTGACAATGATTTCGTACAGGAAACCAGTGTTTTGGGCTGATGTTCACTTATTCTTATTCCCCATGTCAGTGAATTTCTGGTGTGTTTCTATTATTTACAGCTGTCAATTGTACTGTACCTAATATCACAAATGGGCAGCAAGCTGTATCGGAAATATCTTTCCAGCAAACAGCCAACTATTCATGCAGCGCTCATCATGTGTTAGTTGGAGATGCACAGCCAACATGCCAGGCTAATCGCACGTTGACTTCCAGACCCATATGCAAAGGTGAGCAACGTCGCTTGATGGTTAATAACTGCCAGTGTGTGGTTTGGATGTTCGAACTTTTACGATGTGACGCGCAACTTTCGACACCTGCAAAGAGCTACGATCGTGACACAGCTTTTACTATCTTTTTGTTTGTTACGCCATCCTTAAACACTACATGTGAAAAGTAAGCAGTGATTATAAAAAGTGAACCATACCTCTTGCTTGCTTCAGCTCGCCTATGTCTATTGCTTTATGAGCTAATAGTGTAACCTTTCATTTACTGTTTTCTAGCTGTGACCTGCCAGGTACCAACTATCAGCAACGGGACATCTAGCCAAACAGGGATGATCAGATATCAAGAATCGGTAACCTACACCTGCAATACTGGCTACACACTGAGTGGAGTGAGAACATCAACATGTGCAGCTGATGGGACTATACTATCACCCAGTTGTCTAGGTGAGCAAAAGGATATCAATGTACTGATCTGCGCTCGATTCTCTTTTGTTTCTCTCCATAATATTTAGTTCACAGTGGTTGGCTACCACCTGACTTCTCATAAATAGTGGCAGTCTAATTATGACGAGCCTGGTCCCGCAATCTGGATTCTTCTCAGTCGCGCCTCCGCTAGTCTCTGGCTTCTCCTCAGATCCGTTTTGCTTCCGTTTTCGTTCCGTTCTAATGGTGTGTGCCCGACGGTGGTAACAGAAAGGTTACCAGGAGAACGAAACAAAAATGGAAGCAAAACGGATCTGAGGAGAAGCCAGAGACTAGCGGAGGCACGACTGAGAAGAATCGAGAAGGCGGGACCAGGAGAGGCAGGTGAAGGTATGGGCGCACCACGGTGCACTCTTCAAAGAGAAAGAAGCGGTGGCGTGAGGAGATGGGGATGGAGGGTGATGATGGGGATGAACAGAATGGTCAGGGAGGCAGCAAGGGTGAGAAGTCAAATGTCTAGTCGAGATTTAGCAAGGTCACATTCCATACGACAGCAAAGCAAGTATATTTTTTTATTTCAATGCACAAGTACATACGGGCTGCAAGCCCAATAACATGGAAGCAAATGTGATAATGGCGTAAATTTTGAAAAAAAAGGTGGCCGAAGAAGGCGGACGGTGGCAAAGCAACAGGGAGGAAAATTCAAGAGCAAAATTAACAATTGCACAAATGTGAGAGTACCTGTGATCGAGGGTATCTGTATGTTAGTACATATAATTATTTTAGTATTTCGGTAACATTTGGACTGGGTACCTCCGCTAGGCTCAAAAGCAGAATCTCTTTGTCGATTTGACAGGTGACAATGATTTCGTACAGGAAACCAGTGTTTTGGGCTGATGTTCACTTATTGTTATTCCCCATGTCAGTGAATTTCTGGTGTGTTTCTATTATTTACAGTTGTCAATTGTACTGTACCTAATATCACAAATGGGCAGCAAGCTGTATCGGAAATATCTTTCCAGCAAACAGCCAACTATTCATGCAGCGCTCATCATGTGTTAGTTGGAGATGCACAGCCAACATGCCAGGCTAATCGCACGTTGACTTCCAGACCCATATGCAAAGGTGAGCAACGTCGCTTGATGGTTAATAACTGCCAGTGTGTGGTTTGGATGTTCGAACTTTTACGATGTGACGTGCAACTTTCGACACCTGCAAAGAGCTACGATCGTGACACAGCTTTTACTATCTTTTTGTTTGTTACGCCATCCTTAAACACTACATGTGAAAAGTAAGCAGTGATTATAAAAAGTGAACCATACCTCTTGCTTGCTTCAGCTCGCCTATGTCTATTGCTTTATGAGCTAATAGTGTAACCTTTCATTTACTGTTTTCTAGCTGTGACCTGCCAGGTACCAACTATCAGCAACGGGACATCTAGCCAAACAGGGATGATCAGATATCAAGAATCGGTAACCTACACCTGCAATACTGGCTACACACTAATTGGAGTGAACACATCAACATGTGCAGCTGATGGGACTATACTATCACCCAGTTGTCTAGGTGAGCAAAAGGATATCAATGTACTGATCTGCGCTCGATTCTCCTTTGTTTCTCTCCATAATATTTAGTTCACAGTGGTTGGCTACCACCTGACTTCTCATAGATAGTGGCAGTCTAATTTCGACGAGCCTGGTCCCGCAATCTGGATTCTTCTCAGTCGCGCCTCCGCTAGTCTCTGGCTTCTCCTCAGATCCGTTTTGCTTCCGTTTTCGTTCCGTTCTAATGGTGTGTGCCCGACGGTGCTAACAGAAAGGTTACCAGAAGAACGAAACGAAAATGGAAGCAAAACGAATCTGAGGAGAAGCCAGAGACTAGCGGAGGCACGACTGACAAGAATCGAGAAGGCGGGACCAGGAGAGGCAGGTGAAGGTACGGGCGCACCATGGTGCACTCTTCAAGGAGAAAGAAGCGGTGGCGTGAGGAGATGGGGATGGAGGGTGATGATGGGGATGAACAGGATGGTCAGGGAGGCAGCAAGGGTGAGAAGTCAAATGTCTAGTCGAGATTTAGCAAAGTCACATTCCATACGACAGCAAAGCAAGTATAATTTTTATTTGAATGCACAAGTACACACGGGCTGCAAGCCCAATAACATGGAAGCAAATGTGATAATGGCGTAAATTTTGAAAAAAAGGTGGCCGAAGAAGGCGGACGGTGGCAAAGCAACAGGGAGGAAAATTCAAGAGCAAAATTAACAATTGCACAAATGTGAGAGTACCTGAGACCGAGGGTATCTGTATGTTAGTACATATATTTTAGTATTTCGGTAACATTTGGACTGGGTTCCTCCGCTAGGCTCAAAAGCAGAATCTCTTTGTCGATTTGACAGGTGACAATGATTTCGTACAGGAAACCAGTGTTTTGGGCTGATGTTCACTTATTGTTATTCCCCATGTCAGTGAATTTCTGGTGTGTTTCTATTATATACAGCTGTCAATTGTACTGTACCTAATATCACAAATGGGCAGCAAGCCGTATCGGAAATATCTTTCCAGCAAGCAGCCAACTATTCATGCAGCGCTCATCATGTGTTAGTTGGAGATGCACAGCCAACATGCCAGGCTAATCGCACGTTGCCTTCAACACCCACATGCAAAGGTGAGCAACGTGCACATTGCTGAAGTTGAAATTTCTCCCGCTACAGGAATCGTGAGACTGCTTCTGCAGCTCGCAACAGCCATTTTCTTGTTGCAGCTGTTTCAAGTCACGTGCTGGGTCGCAGAAGTGGTATTGTGAACTGGCCTTTCGCAAGTTGAGATATCGGACAGATTAGTGAGGCTCTGCTCCAGGTCACTGGGTTGCGACGCGAAGAATCTCCGGATCTCTCTTCGCGTTTCCGTGATGCAAAGAAAATCTGTTCTGCTTTACGTCACGTAGAGACAGCACGTGGAAAGTGAACTGGTAATTTCTCCTTCCATATTTGATATTTGATCGATGGCCAGCAGGTCTCTACTGCTTTATGAGCTATCATTACAAGTATAACCTTTCATTTAAACAATAGGCCTGGAACCTCTCTGTTCCTGTTTTCTAGCTGTGACCTGCAAGGTACCAACTATCAGCAACGGGACATCTAGCCAAACAGGGATGATCAGATATCAAGAATCTGTAACCTACACCTGCAATACTGGCTACACACTGAGTGGAGTGAGAACATCAACATGTGCAGCTGACGGTACTATACTAACACCCATTTGTCTAGGTGAGCAAAACGGGTATCAATGTATCCTGATCAGATGAGGGGATAACAAAGTGTGCCAGCCTTTCAACATTTACTGTGCATACCGTGTCACAGTTTCTACTACCTAATGATGCTTTACTCTAGCTGGGCTCACACAATGAGAGAAACTTGCGAGAAATTCTCACTCTGTGTAGTGAAGGTTTCTTTTTTTTTGTGAAATGCCGTCAAAACTTGTCTTCGGTGTAAAGGTGAAGATAGATGACGAATTTGGATGACTGCGACATATTAATGCCTCAAGAGCTATCCTTGATGGCAAAGCTCTCCAGGTGGAGGAGCCATCTGGATGTGTTCACGTTCTCTTCACGCTGTAGGTCAAGGATCCAGCAAAAACATCATATCAGATAGGTCGCTCGAGATACTTTTAGATATGATAACACAGTAGCAAAAGCAACGGCAATCCTCAGACAACTGCTATCTCGTCATACATGTGCTTGTGGTAGACTATTAAAATGTGCTCTGTGCAGCCTGGGCTTAAACCCATAGGGACTGTATTCAATCTGAGCAGTGCTCAAGCTGGCTTTCATGTCGCGGAATGTCTCAGTGCTCCAAGTCAGTTTTGTGCTAGATTGTGCATGTCCGGCTGTTCAAAATCTAGTTCGATT